GGAGTACAGCAGAAGGCAACAAAAATGGTTCAGGGGTTGGGGGACAAGACTTATTAGGAAAGGCTGAGGGAACTGGGCTTATTTAGTCTGCAGAAGAGAAGACTGAGAGGGGATTTAATAGCAGCCTTCAACTATCTGAAGGGAGGTTCGACAGAGGATGGTGTTAGACTGTTCTCAGTGGTGGCAGATGACAGAACAAGGAGCAACGGTCTCAAGTTGCAGCAAGGGAAGTTTAGATATTAGGAAGAATTTTCTCACTAGGAGGGCAGTAAAACACTGGAACAGGTTACCCAGAGAGGTTGTGGAAACGTCATCCTTGGAGGTTTTTAAGACCCAGCTAAACAAAGCTTTGGCTGGGACGAACTAGTTGGAGATGATTCTGCTTTGACCAGGGGGTTGCACAAGAAGACCCCCTGAAGTCCCTTTCAACCCTAATTTTCTATGATTCTATATCCTGTATATTCTGAAACTCAAGTAAAGGATACAGTTTGATAGAAATTGCATCTGGTTTTTTAATCTTGTCTTGAACTCCCATCTCCTCAAGCCAAGAAAAACTTTCTTCTTCATCATCACTCACTCCTTGTTCCCTAGGAAGTACAGATTCAGGCTGTTAAGGTGGCAATAGTCCACATCAGCATTTACTAGATTAAAACATCAAGACTCTTCAGACAGATTTTTTACATACTCTTCATCTTCAGTGTGCTTGCCTACTCCAAAATTCTTGGCAACCTCTGCTTCCAAGTTTGTCTCAGAACTTCTCTGCCTTCTGTCTCTAGTTTCTTCTATGAAAGGTAAAGAAAATTCTATACCTTGAATGGAGAAAAATAAGCGAATGATTATATACACAACTTTGTATGCCAAATGAGTTTGGTAGGTTAGTCAAATGTAAGCTCCATCTTACCTTCATTTCTCATGGCTTCTCTTAAACCTCTGGTCGTGGGTGAAATGACTGCTGTGATACCATCACTTCCTGCAAGGCCAGCCGCACGAAACAGCACAGTAAATTGGTAGGTACAAACATAGAAGTAGGGACAAAGCTTGGCTTTGAGCAGGTTATACAGGGAGGTAAAACTGACAGACCTGCAAGTTGGTAAAATATAGTTACAGTGGTTATTTCCATCTTTAATTCCTCCTCACCACCTGCTAAATTCCTACCTAGATCTCTAATAATGAAATGCTCTGTGAAACATTACTCATTTGTAGGATTTTGTCGGGAACATGCACCTTGCCACAGTCAAGTCTGAAAAGTAATACCTTTAACAGTGGCAGCCAGATTTTCAAGTGTGCTTGGCATCCAGCATAGAGGTCTCTTGATAACGTGGCCCTGAGGTGTGCTGAGACATCTACTCACAAGTGATTTAATGTGTGAAATGGTAAAGGCAGCCTGCTAGTAAATTTTTAGAAGCTGGTAGACATGGAGGGGCATTCAGCACAATAGTCTTAACTTCACATATCTAAGGTGGCTAAAGAATTTGAGAGAGAAAAAACTTTTTAGGTCTGCTTTAAGTAGCCATCAGAAAGGGTACTTTATTACTAATTACTGTTCTTCAGGTTTCCTCTATACATTCCCTGGAGCTGCAGAACTCCCATGGGAGGCCTGGGTCAGGTTGGGGGTGACAAGTGAGAAACTGCAGGAATCTCACTGTCCAATTTAAAATGGAGAATACCTGCAGCTGTCTCATATCCCTCCCTAAAGCTGTAGAAGCCTAACATACAGCACTCCAAGACAGAAGGAAAGGGATAGGGACAGCGCGCTGAAGAAGTTCTGCTGTTATGTAGCCTCTTGTGCTCAGAGAGCTTTGGGCAGTCCCACTTGTGGGAGATTAATAACCAATGGTTCATCAAAATACAAGTTCACAAGACAGGACTGCACATACCTCGGCAAAGTGCAATGTTAAATCCAGGTAGCAGTATCTGGAAAGCGTTTAGCAAACTTCTGCTATAAATTTCTCCTTCAAGGCAGCCTGCTTCAGGCCATGGACAGGCATTACATTTGTACCTCTCCCCAGGACTATGCAAGATATGGAGGGCATTCCCCTGCAGTGTGAATCATCCTAGGGAGACCTGAGACAGCTTAAGTAAATGGTGCCGAAGCTTCCTGCTTCTTGCAGAATCCTGGGTCTGCCTGGACTGTGCAAGGGGTGGGGGGATGCCTAGGGGAAGGGATGAGAAAGGAGAGCAGTATTCCCCTACAAAGTGGGGAAGCTGTTCTTGGCAGTTGGTACTTTTTAATCACATGCAACAAATAACCTAGACAATAGTCTTTTCCAGATAAAAATGCATTTTATGCTTGCATTGTGTAGATGGGTTAGCAGCAGCAGACAGATTTGAGCTGGTGCCAAGGGAAAGGATAATGAATACTCAAGTAACAAGCTGGGAACTTTTTACGCTGTTACCAAAGCTACTGATGCTTATGCAGGCAGTGCTGGTTCAGTCTTTGGTCCTACTTTTGATTTGAGCAGTAGCACCAGTTAAAGGACATGTTCTCAAAAATCAGGTAGAAGGCCCATGATAGAAAGGCAGTCTGATCCCAGAATAACCAGGTGCATCTTGGGTCTAGTGTCAGAAAACCTTGGCAAGGAGTCTAGTGTTTGTATTTCTGAGGCTATTGTTACAGATATACCAGATGAGCCTAAAACATCAAACATCTCTTCCCCTTCTAGTATAAGGAGCAAATGTGCATCAAATTGCACACCAGCTTAGTGAGCTAGTCTATTTCAGATGCAGAAGGCACCAGACAGATGTTGGTCTCTGGTATAGACAGTTGAAAGAAGTCATACTTCTTTACACCCTTATGAGACCTATACCCACAGGCTCCCAAGATGAGGGCAGGTTGTGGCAGTAATCCATCATATACTTCTACGCTCTCTTGTGAGAGAGAGCAGAGAGAAAAGCAGACAAGGGCGACTGCTTTCTAAGAAACTGCAACAAAGAAACAGGTGTCTGGAGAGTTGTTCCTCTTCGGAGTAGGATCACCCTCATGCCAAACTCTCTCATGCACTTGCACCAGACACTGTTTTTCCAGTACAACTCAACATTAGCATTGTTGGACTACATGAATGGGAATACACAGAGGCCCATAAAGCAAACTTCCCTGCTGAAAGAATTTCCCATAGAAACAATGGCTAAAGTTCTTCAATCTAACTAACTTACCATTCACTCATTAGAACTTGTTGCAGTTCTTCATCATGTGACCAAGGATTAGCCTTTCCAGCTATTTTCCTATCTGCTCCAATTCGAGGGAACAGCTGCAGCCATGGCAGTGAAGGGTGAAGCCAATAAATAAGACTTTGCTGGAATGCACAGCGAAGCTCTGTGGACAGCTTTGGTTCCTAGATTTAAATTAACACCCAATGAGATCAGTAATGCCTCATTTGCAAGAGAAGGGAATACTGATAAGGTCTTAAACACTTTAAAATACCAGTTTACCTACACTGTTGAATAACCCCAAATCAGAAAACAATGGGCAGCAGCTGAGAAACTGTGCCACAGCCAAGAAAAGGGAAAAACTCTGCTTCTTTAGTTTTTGCAAGTGAGGGTCACCTTTGTTTACATGAAGGAATTGGCATTGGTAAAGCCACAACAATTGCTCAATACGGGCTATTCTCTATGCAGGTGAGTCTTTTCAATACTTTTCCCAAAATTCTGCATTACATTTAATATTTAAAAGGAGTTTTCCTCTCTAAAACTGGACAAGGTACTCCAGTCTCTTATCACAGTTGTTGCCAATCTTGGCCATTTTCAAGGGACCCAGGCCAAGCTGCAGAAGGCCCCAAAGCCTGCTTCTAAGTGATCATAGAGTGAACCTTTGCAGATGTGACAACCAGCTTGGGCAGCAAAGTAAAGGAAGCAATCAACATGTTCAGCTAAGCCAGTAATGAGATCCAGTTAACTACTAGAGCACAATGCCCAAAAGGAAATAGTATAAGGGACCATACATTAAATAATCCCAATATACTGTATAACAGCTTTAACCCAAAATATTATTAGTAGTAATTGATATAACCAAATGTATTAGATATTATTTTGCTTTAAAAAATTTTGTCTTAAGATTCTTAGATAAATTGTAAAAATAAAACAGCCTTGTCAGAGAAGCCCATAAATTAAGGTAAGGAAGAAACAGAACAGCGCTGAACAGCATTCTGCTATGACATAGGAAGGAAGGTAAAAAACCCTCCATGCTACTTTCCCAAGAAAATAAATCTGAACTGACAACTTTCAAGTCCATAAGAAACCTGGTTCAGTCCAGCTCCCAAAGTTTCAGAAAAACCAAAAAATTTAAATAAAACCAATCAGAGAACATTTATTAGAATATTTATTAGAACCATCTATAAATATAGGGTATAGGCTGGAGGAAAATTTGGAGAATTAAATGAGACCTACTGCCAGCCTACATGCCACCCTCCTCCCCACCTCTTCTGTCTCCCCAGCCAGTGCAGGTATGTGGGATCTACATTGTGTTGTTATAGGTAGCTAGATGGGACTTTGGGACAAGCATTTGTTTTTGTGTTTTGGGGTGTAAGCAATATAAGGTCAATATAAACCTGTCTATTGCCTCCTTTATCAGTAGCCAATTTGCAAGGTTACCTATAATCTGGGTTGTACAGCCAATAAAGGAAGACGACAGATTACCTGTATGCTCTGTGGCAGATTAACTTCTGTTGCTCTACAGTGCTGAGCAAACCCTTGTGCTTCTTCTTGAGCCTTTAAATGTTCTGCCCAAGTGAAAGGTTGGGAGGAAGTGAACAGAATTCGAGTTTTAATACTCCAGTCTACAGGAAATTCTGTATGTAGTGAGGAAGGGACATCAGGTACAGGAACAGGTGAATGGTGATCCTTACAAAACAAAAACAATGCAAGTTAATGTAAGAGAAGCATATTTAACCTAAAAACTATCACCCCTTGTGCCACCCACTGACAGGGTTAGAGAAATATATTAACTAACCACTAAGCAGTTTCTTGTCCGCTCATCTAAAGCAGGGGCATCAAACGTAATGCACCACAGGCTGCATCTGGCCCGTGGAACCACTCTATCCAGCCTGCCAAGCTACCAGCAGGCAACCAGAAGTTGGGGGCTATGGCCAGGGAGAATGGCTGCTGCAGAATCTGGGGCTCTTGAGTCTCAATGGATATGGCAATCAGCAGCAGGAAGGCAAGCAAGGGCTGATTTTACAACCTGGGCTGCTCTGCAGTGGCTTGGCCCATCACCACAGCTGTGGCAAGCCACCACTTGGTCCATGCACTTCCCCTACCTCCTTCACTGCTAGCCTTACCATCGACCTATGCTGGAGCCACCACCATAAGCCCTGTGCCAGAACCAGAGCTGCGACTGCATGCCCTAGCTCAGAGCCAGAACCATTGTGTGCCTGGGGCTAGATCTATTTCACAAGGAGTCTGGTGGCGAGATCTAGCCTGGGGCATGAGGCAAGCTTAGCACCAGATGCTTAGATAAAAGTTGTCAACAGCAATAGGATATGGAATGAGGCAGGCCATGGATAGGATACCCATATTACTAAATTCTAAGTTTTGAAATATAGCCAGTATGCGAAGATAGTTGCAAATTCAAATGTTTATCTCTACTGATCTTGACAAAAGCGCCCATTACAAACCAGTTGCTACCATGGTAAAAGAAAAAATGCCCAGTCTCTCGTGTTGTGAGCCATTCATGTGAATTTATGAAGTTTTGGGCCTTTATGCATTTATAAGTGCATACTATGAATTGTTAAAGTTCAGGGAAAGTTTTATAAGAAAACACAGAAACATTTCTGTTGTTTTTGTTAAAACACTAGCTGAAGTCACTGTTTAAGTCAATATTATTTTCCAGCTCTAGTATACTAGCAGCATATTCCTGGGATTGGATTGCAAACAGATTTTCATCCAAACAAACTGTTTTCACTGACATGTTAAGAGACTTTTGGAAGTATGCCTGTTCACTATTTTTTAAAGTGTACAGTAAGCTTTCATAGACATTAGGGCTGGAAGGGACCTTGAAGATCATCAAGTCCAGCCCTCTGCCCCAGGGGCAGGAAGTCAGCTAGGGTCAAAGGATCCCAGCAAGATAAGCATCCAAGCGTTTCTTGAATGAGTCCAGAGTAGGTGCCTGCACCACTTGCAGAAGGAATCTATTCCAGGCCTTGGGGGCTTGGACAGTAAAGAGATTTTTCCTTATGTCCAGCCTAAACCGTTCTTGGAGGCGTTTATGACTGTTAGTCCTTGTTATCCCTTGGGGCGCTCTGGTGAACAGACATTCCCCCAGATCCTGATTCACACCCCTTAAGTACTTATAGGCAGCCACCAGGTCACCCCTGAGGTTGCGCTTCTCCAGGCTGAAAAGTCCAGTGGCTCTTAGCCTCTCTTCATAAGGCCTGTTCTCTTGCCCTCTGATCATGTGTGGCTCTCCTCTGGATTCTCTCAAGCTTCTCGACATCTTTCTTGAATTGTGGAGCCCAGAATTGGATGCAGTACTCCAGCTGCAGCCCCACCAAGGCCGAGTACAGCAGGAGGATGACGTCCTGGGATTTACTTGAGAAACATCTATAGATGCAAGCCAGAGTTTTGTTTGCTTTACCAGCTGCGACATCACATTGGTGGCTCATGTTCATTTTGTGGTCAGTCACAACCCCCAAGTCTCTTTCAGCTGTGGTGCTAGTGAGCGTAGCACTGCTAGCCTATAAGCATGCTGCGGCAAGACCTAACCACGACAAACCCGTGCTGGCTGCCCCTCAGGATGTTGCCCTCAGCCAGCTTATCAAGAAGAGTCTCTTTGATAATAGGCAGGTAGGAATTCCCATATCAAATCAGACCAGCACCATCTCATTTGGTCATCACTGTTAGCAAGTTAATATTACCCAATGCAAGAAATACTATGTAGGCAGCTATGCGATAGGCTGCTGTCCTGGGGAAAGGTTCTTCCTGACCCCTTAATATGTGTTGGCTTAAACTTACATTTTCTTAAGCAGCAGCTCTATGAGCCTAAAATCTGGTAAGCCTCAAAAAGTCAGTCGCACCTGTCTTACCCCTAGCTAGAGTTGGTAAAGGTTATGTGTGGTTTTTTTCCCTTCTTTCCCGCATGAAAGACAAGTAACAACAGGGGGAGTGAGTGATTAGTAAGTAGAGAATAAAACCAGCAATACAAAACAGTGTAAGAGCCACAAGGTGGGTAAACTGAAAATAACCTCTTGTGTTCCAATACAATAGCAAGCCTGTTTTTAGTGGATGACAGCCTGACCCTGAGCTTCAAAGGCAGTTTAAGATAATTTCTGAGAATGTTTATGCTCTAATAAAAATCGACCCAACATTGAAATCAAAGCTAAAAACATTAAAAAATGAAGTTCTTATCAGCACCATGGAATATTAAACACACCCAAAGGCAATAATTAAGGAGTCATACATTTGTTAATGTGGGAAAATCTACTACAGAATACTCTTCTTCCAAGGTGGATTTAGTTTCTTGAGGAGGATCCAAGAGCTAAAATAGAAGGAAAAAAAACCTGTTACTTTTAAAAAAGGAAGCACAAACGGAGGACTGAACTGAGTATCATTTCAAGGCTGACTTTTAAGTGAAACTTCAAGAAAAATGTTTAGAACTACCTATCATCAACAGCGCACCCTAGAACATTTCACCCTCTGGTAGCATCAACAAGACGTTTTTTACATACCCAAGCACTGAAGTTTAGAGGCTTTTCCAGCATTTGCTAGAAAAGCGGAAAATTTGAATTCCGAAAGCCTTTCTTCAACCTACTCAGTTGGTCTAATAAAAGATAGCACATCTACTCAAAGAACCTCCCCTATTTCTACCCGGGAGAACTTTCACCATCTTTTCTCCCATGCCGGAAGAAGGGCTCGTGTAGCCCAAAGCTTGCAATTAAAGATTTTCTTTTCTTTTTGCGAAAAATCTGATTGGCCCAATCACAAGATGATCACCTCTGTCACTAGGGCCGAGCCCCGAGCACAACGAGGCTTACAAAGGAGGGGGAGCCTGGAGGCATGCCGCCCCCCGACACGCACACGGGGTGGGCGCAGGGGCTTGGAGCCCCGGGGGGGGGGGGGGGGCCCGGCGAGCCGGGGGCGGCAAGGGAGGGG